CTCCCCTTCCTCCCCCGCCGCCGCCGGCCGCACTCGGCCCGCTCAGTCCCGGCTCCCAATCTACTTCCAATCTCAGATGGGCTTCACCTCACTCCTCCCAACCCCCATCCTGCGGTCAGGACACGCCGCTGCTCCTTCCTGCGAATCGGCCGGATCCCGGCAAATACCGGGGGCGTAGAGGCGCTCGCCCCAGCGGCTGCAGTCAGCTAGCGGCTTGCAAGCTCCCGTTATTTCTACAGGCCCGGTGAAGGAATGTGCCGAGTAGGGTCTGCAAAGGGGCTCCCGAGGGTCCCCGGCCCTTACCAGCACTGGAGGTGGAAGGCGGCAGGGCAGTGGTCACAGCACAAGAGATCCCCGCCTTCCTTGCAGCTATCGCAGCTGTCGTGGTTGGTGGCCCTGCCGCTTCTCCGGGACTCCTTCTCTGGCTTCCGACTCCGCTTTTCCGCCTCGTCCGTCTTGGGGGGAGCCAGCAGAGCCTGGATTTGCTGCACACACAACAGACGGTGTGTGTGCACATTCGGAGCTCCTGGGCGACCCGTAGTCCCACCTTCAAGGCTTCTCCGACACCCACCCCTCTTCCCCCTTTTGTCCTTCTTCCTCCCATCCAGGCTGCTTCCAGAACCTCTCGGTCCCCAGAACCAGGGGGAGCCCACCCTAACTGCGCTCCTGCAGCACAACAGCGAGAAAAGCTCCTTCCAAACGGGGAGGATCAGGGTAGGGGGATGGGGAGAGGGTGCGCGGTTCCCTTCTCGCCACTTCCTTGTATGGACAGTGGGGGACTCCAAAGCCCGGCTCGGGAGAGGCCCGAAGCTTGGTACCCGGACGTGCAGCGGAAAGCACAAAGGGACCGAAAAGAAGGGGGTGGGGAGGCCTGCCGGTGCATTGAAATGGAGTGGGCTGAAGCCTCGGGAGAGCAAATCGAGGGCGGCGGGTAGGTGAAACTACTGCGAACGTCCTCGGAAGCTGAGCTCAGTCCCCCAAATTGCAAAGATGGGAGGGAGAGACTGGGTGAGGAAGAACCCCCCCCCCCCTTCCCGGCCCTCTGGCGCTTCGAGCTTAGGGCCGGCTTTGTGGGGCGGAGGTTTCCTCCCGGCGCTGGGGGAAGGGGATGAGGGCCACTCTTACCTCCATCAGCCCCCCCGACGTGTCCAAGTCGTACACGATCGTCTTGGTCTCCATTTTCTCCCACATTCATCCACCTCCCAGGCTGGGCGCTCTCTGCTCCGGGCCCCCCAGCCCCGGGGGGAGGGGGGGAAGAGGGGGCACTCCTGACCCCCGGCCCCTTTCTCTCTTCCCAACACAGGTTCCGACTTCCTCGCCCTGGCACCCCCCCACCCCCCGGCCCCCAGTCCCTGGGACGGCAGCGTCCTCCCGACGGGCCGTGAGAGGGGAGCAACCCCTCAGCCCCGGCCCGGCGGCTGGCTGCACAGTGGGTCCCGGCTCCGGGGGTCAGGCCTCGGCGGGGCCTAGGCCCACAGGCTAAAGCTGGCGCTGGCGACCGCTGGTCCGGCCGGGAAGGCTGGCGGGCGCTGCCATCCCGGGGTTGGGGGACCGGAGAGGGGGTGAGAGGTTAGGTGAGGTTGTGGTACGTGAGGTGACTCGGGGGAGGATGATGGGGGGTGGTCCCCGGGCTCCGCCTCTCGCCGCCGCTGCCGTCTGCGTCCCGGCTGCCGCGCACTTGGCGCAAACTTACCGCGAGCGCCCGCAAAGCCACCCGCGCAGGCGCCCCGGGATCGCCGCTCGCCGCGCGCAACCGCAGTGACAGCCGGCGGCCTGGCTCCCGCGCAGCCGCGGTGGTGGGGTGCCCCCCAGCGCGCAGCCGCGCTGGCATTCGTCTGGAGCCCAGAAGCGCCGCCTTTCTGCCGTGCGCCAGCGTACTGAGCCTAGAAGGCGGGACCTGCGGCCTCGCTCGGGCGCCTGGGAAAGAGCGTAGGGGTCATGGCGCAGCCGCAGGGGCCCGGGGACGCTTCGCCCATTGGCGCTTGTGTGCAGACCGTGGTCTCCGTTCCCGCGCAGGCGTGTTGGGTTGCCACCGTCCCGTCCCTCTACGCACCCGCCTCACGCGCAGGCGCATTGTCACCCGGCGGCCTGCACAAGAAAGCTTTTCCTTTCGCCATTTTGGTAGTGGGATCTGGGCTACCATGCCTTTGGCGTTCTCAGTCACGACCAAGGAGGAGCCTGTGGTGTCGTGTGAGGCTGGTAGGCTTTCGGCTGCAGCAGCACTCATAAGGATGCTGTAGGGGACTGTTTTGGCTTAGCGTCAGTTGTGGCTGGACTAAGCCGCCATATTGGTAAAGAGGAAAAAAAGCCATTGCGACAAGAAAAAAACAAAAACCGCGACGCTTTTGGTGGCGGGTTGGATGGCTGCTGTTTCCACTTAACTTCCATTATGGACACTTAATTTTAGCACGAGCATCGCTGCCTTACGTCGCGATGGAACCAAGGATCGTTCAAACTGTCTGTTACTACCCTCTCCAAACCACTGTCCCAGAGAACTACTGTGATAGAGGAAGTCAAAAGCCCAAACGATCCGTAATCCTGACAACGCCCAGCTACCTGCCTATAGCTGACTTCAATCCCCAATTTGCAACGCGCAGTGTTCAAAGAGTGAACGGGAACGCATTGCGCGCTGGGAGTAAGAATCGCGATGGGTTGTGGGAGTTGCAGTTCTACGCGCGGGCGCTGCATTGTACCGTAAGGTGTATTGAGGGAAAAGCCTGCCGGGAAGGGTATTTTTGAGAGCTACCGTGTTGCGTACTGGGATTTGTAGTTTGAACCCTTCACCTCGCATTCTGAGCAGAGACATGCTCTCTTTGGGTATGCGCTGTTACCTTCTTGTTATCGTTTTCCAATATGGACAGATACGTCTGCCAAACTGAGGATGAAGCAATTCAGAAGGGAACTGGGTGAATGGACCCCACTAGGCATTAATTATTATTGGTGGCATGCAGCTGTGTCTTGGCCCCCTCTCTTTCTTTCTTTTTAAAGACAGTCTTTCCTACTCGGCAGCCCTAGCTGGCCTAGAACTTGCTATGTAGACCAGATTGGCCACGAACTCAAAGAAATCCGACTGCCTCTGCCTCCGGCCCTATTTCTGGGATTAACATATGCTTCTATGATTGGCAGCTTCTAAAGTCATTTTTAGGTTACAAAACACATCATTCTCAGAATCGTGAAACTGGGAAGGATTTAGAGAGTATTTGATTTAAACTCTTCATTTCCAGAAACACAGAATGAAGCAGTGATTTGCGTAGTTGCATATTGAGTTTATTGCAAACCTAATGAGGAAACATATCTTGATTTGTAGGTCAAACTTTGTCCACTACACCGTGTTCACTGTCTGAGGAACAGCTGCTCCTCCTTTTAGGACTGTCAGGACTATAGACCAAAAAGGATATGAGTAACTGTATGAAGTCTGTGAGAGAGAGAGAGAGAGAGAGTTCTCTGGTGGTCCTATGTTGGTGCCTGGAATGAATAATGTCATGGGGAAGTGGAGAGTGCGAATTGTCTCCTCTTCTGTTACCACAGCCAACAACAGTATCTATAGGACTGAGGTGTGACCCTCAGAGGAGAGGGCTGAGTTAGAGACCAGGCTTTATGCCTCCTTCTGCTACATAACTTCAGAAGTTGGAACCTCATATGCCCTCTGTCATTGGCTTCCTTCCTACTCCCCAGAGCACAGCTGTGCTGCTGTGTTAGCTTGGAGGTGTTACTGGCCAGAGAAGTAAACCTCTGGCACACACCCAGGGAGCAAGGCTTTGCTTTGTTCAACACATCTGTTGCAGCTGAGAACAGGAGCGGGCAGTGGACTGATGAGGAAAAGCAAGTTGGTTCTGTTGACAGGTGCCAGAGGAACAAATTACTCAACACACCTTCTCAGAGCCTGAGGATGCGGTCAGCCCAATGGGGATAGGACTGGTGCCACCTTGGAGAGCTCCAGCTCAGGGTGTTAAGGGGACTTCAGAAAAGAGCAGGTGGGATGCAGATGCCTCCGGAAGCGACCTCTTGTGGTCAAGCTAGGCACTGCACCATGAACTGAAACCCCGGACTTGTATAGAGGCTGGGAGGAATTTCCGTCCACATCTTCCCGGTGAAGGTTGTATTGTTTGGCTTATAGCTTCCGAGTGCCTGTAATTCCTTATTGCCTGCCTCCTGGGAAGATATTTTCATCTCAGAAGGCTTTAGTTGCCGAACGGAAGGGGAAATTTTAACTATATCCTCGTTACCACTTTTTTAAAAAATATTTCTTTTATTTTTATTTTTTTGGCGTTTTTTGAGACAGGGTTTCCCTGAGTAGCCCTGGCTGTCCTGTCTACCTCAGGCTCCCGAATGCTGGGATTAAAGGCATGTGCCACCACTACCCAGCTTCTTCCATTTTTTGAGATTATAATTACATCATTTCTCCCTTCCCTTTTCTCCCTTTCTTTTTCTCCCTCCAACTCCCCCCATATTCCCCTTCTTGCTCTTTTTCAAATTCCTGACATCTTTTAAGACTGTCACATACATATGTGACTAAATGACGTATATACACATTTCTAAATACATGAGCACAACCTGCTTAGTTTGTATGTCACTTGTCTGTATGTTTTCAGTAGCCAATTAAAGAGTCCATAGGCGGGGCTCTGCCGGTCTCAGGGGCCTCTGAGCTGCCCTGTCCCTCCTGCTCATAATCTGGATGCTTTTTTAAAAAAATTTTTATTTAACTTTAGTAATTACAGTATATTCACTTCATATCCCAGCTGTAGCCCTTCCAGTCTGGATGTTTTTTTGAGGCCAAGACGAGCTAGGCCTTATGTACAAGGGTTCATGTATGGTTCATTACATGGCTGTAATTCTAATCTCCCAAACTTCACTTGATAGAAAAAGTGGAAGGCACGATGCCTCAGACTGGGCGCTATCAGCAGTCCAGTGGCATTAAAAGCGGTTTGGGACTGGGCCAATCTATGCTTCGAAGCATCGGGGCTAATGAGCACTGAGTCGCGGAGCTCCCATCCCCTCGGCAGTAACCAGCTGCCATGCGTGGCACTAACATCTTTGGGGCAGCATTACTTGTTTAACTACACACAATGTTTTCTTTTTCTCATAAAATCTGGGGATGATTGATCAGTGCATGCAGTGGGTCTTCACACGCCACGGTCCACACTGCATTCCCCTACCACCTCTCTTCCCTCCAAGAAAGTACCATTCACATTGCTTGATTTTTTTTTTTTTCCAAAAACACCATTTTAATAAGGAAACAACAGAAATAAAAGATTGTTTTCTGGCTGGAGCCCAGACCCCGTATGATACATCAATATGTACAAAGCGGCCTTCAGTCCAGACTGAGCTTCCTCCTGGGGGTTTCTGACTTCTGTTATGTGCCACATTCCTGGGTCCTTGGACGTCTGCTCCTCTCCAGAATGTACCTGCTCTCTTTCCCAGCATGCCATAATGCAGCAGCAGGAGGGGGAAGCATGGGAAGAGGCTTAGAAGAGGGACCGATAGGGAAGGGGACATTTGTAACAGCCAGATAAACGTCAAGGTTAAACGTCAAGGTCATCCCCCACCCCACCCCCGGGGCAGAGGGTGCCGGGGAGCAGTAGGGTGTCCTGCTGTGGTGTGGAGTACGTGCATCCAGTGAAGCCCAGCCTGAGCTTGGGATAGAGTCCCTGAACCTTTTAGGATTCCTTAAAGTCATCACTTCCCCGGGACAGACAGGCAGAAGGCCTGACTGTCCAATTCTGAGCCTTTAGAAAGGGACTAGAAACCTCCCTGAGGGGCTGGTGTTGGCATGCCGAGACTACCAAGAGGTCACTGTTGAGAAGAATTTTGGCCACTGGTGTTGACCCTGTGAGGGTACCCTGGTCTCATTTCCACTGCTGTCAAGTCAGCTCTTCTGGAGTTCCCACATACCAAGGCTGGATAGTATGTGCCCCTGCTCTGCCCGCAGCTTCCAGACTGGAGGTCCAGGGCAGAGAAGCAGGAGGATGTTGGCTGATGGTAATGTGCTCCAGCTATGTTCTAGCCAAGTCAGGTCCCTCCTGACTTGAACCCAAAGAAGGGCCCTAAGTGGGCAGTGGTGCCAAGAAAACAGGTCACTGTGGGCATTGCAGGCAGGGAAGGGCACAACTTCTCGAGGGACCAGTGGTGTCTTCCCAGGTGGTCTGTACAGGAGGTGAGGGGAGAGCAGAGAGCGGGGAGCCCTGCCACTGGCCTGTGCTGTAGGTCTGCCTGTGTATCCCCAGGCTGCTCCCACCTAGATGGAAACTTCATATTCTCTCGTCTCCTGCAAAGGAAAGAGACTGCGGAGAGTTGGAAACTTGTTCAAGATGTGTGGAGCCAGAATCGACCTTCCCGAGACAAAGGACCTTCCCAAAGTAGGAGAGCTTGGCAGGACCCTCAGGCATACCCGCCCAAGGGATCAAAGGATGAGTCGTGAAGAGGTATCTTGGCCAACATGGATACTTACTCCAGTCTCATAAGTTGGATTGTCAAATGCTGACTCTACCGTGATGCGGTTATAGGGGCGAGGATGAGTCCGGGGAAGTTGCAGGGGACTCTTCCCCTGGAGCCTGGGAGGACAGAGGAGCCTGTGAGTCGGGAGGGCAGGGCAGGGGTGAGCTGGGCATGCAGAGCAGGAGCGAAAGTCAGGCTCACCTGGAGAAGTAGAGGAATACACCTCCCACCAGCAGCACCATGGCCACCAATGGTAGGAAGATGGCAGCTGCCATGTGGGCAGCATCCAGGGCACTGGAGGTGGCAGGTGCCTTGGCAACTGAAAGCAAAGGGTGGGTGGGATTAGAGCTGATGTCCCCGGCTCTGGGAGTCTATGTCCCCTCCTTTCTCAAGAGCATTCAAAGACCAGCTCCCATTAGCTGGCTAGGGTGGGGAAGAGGCCCTATGCACTGATAGGCCCAAACTGCTCTTTCTCTGCCTTTCACTTGTGGGAACCCATGGCCTGGAAGCTGCAAGAACCAGGTACAGAGGGACCACACTTCTGGCCCTCAAGCATGGAGACTCACCATCCAGGCTACGGCCGTTGTAGAACCCATCCAGAGAGGCTGGAACAAGAGGGGAAGGCCAAGGGCAGTGGGTGAGCCTGATGGAGCAAGCCACCAATGCAAGGAGCACAGAAGCAGGCTGGTCATGGGGAGGATTTGACCAGGGAGAGCCCACTCCTGCATTGTCTTGGTGATGTTAGGTCAGAGACTAGAAGAGACTGGGGAACAGAAAGGGGCATGGGCAAGTGCTTCTGATTCTCAGCACGGAATTGCTTTACTAGAGTAGCTCTATGGTCCGAGGCGGGGGTGGGGTGGCATTGAAGGGAGTGGTAGCACTCACCAGGCCTACAGATGGGTGGGGGGTCACTCCAGTGCGAGGGGTGTCCAGGCACGCATTTGATACTGGCCTGGCCTTTCAGCACATAACCAGGAGCACAGGAGAAGTGGGTGGTGGCCCCTGCCGGGTAGAGCCGCTTCTCAGGGCTGCGGGCACCGTTCTCAGGGGCGCTGAGGCCATGACATGGCTTGAACTGCTCCACTGCAAGGCAGGCAGAGTCAGGTGATGGCGTCAGGTCCTTCTACGATAGGCGCCCCTTCTACCGCCTCTAAACTTACAGAGACATTTGGGGGCCCTGTCACTCCACTTGGGGCTGCCAGCCTGGCGATCATGGCAGGTGAGGATGGCGCTACCCGTCAGCACAAAACCCTGGTCACAGATATACTGCACAGTTGCCCCCACAGGAAACTTGGGGCTCGATATGAGGCGTCGGCTGTGTTCCACGTCCCCTGGGTCGTGGCAGGATGTCACTACGGATGGAGAGGGAAGGAAGGAAGCAGGGAAGGCTTAGGGTCTGGTGATAGAGCTCCGCAAGAGTGCTTTCACAGCATGCATGAAAGTCCCACACAAACCCAGCCCGCTGTGCCTGCCTGTAACCCCAGCACTCCAGAAGGTGGGTGCGATCCCAGGACTAAAAAAGTAGAGGCAGGAGGGTCAGAAATTCAAGGGAATCCTCAGCTTCATGGAGCTTGAGGCCAGTCTGGGCTAGAAACACTATCAGAGAGTGAGAGCAAGAAAGAGGGGAAGAGGAGAGGGGCAGGTGGTAACCCCGTTTTTCTTCAAGTGTTACAGGTCAGCTAATACCAGACTATATGACTCTACTCGCATTGTAAATGTCCACATCTTTCTTCTTTCTTTCTCCTTTCTTTCTCTCTCTCTCTCTTTTTCTCTCTCTCCCTTTCTCTTTCTTTCTTTCTTTCTTTCTTTCTTTCTTTCTTTCTTTCTTTCTTTCTT